AAACTTGAAATAATATATTAAAAGATAAAAGTTATGAAAAAGAATAAGAAATATTTAAAAATTATATCAAAGTAAATATTTTTATGTATAAAATAAAATTTTAAAATTATATGTATAATGTCGGGTTGGTTTGGTCTCGGATTGGTTTTTTTTAGTTAAAACCAAACCAACCCAAATATAGTCGGGTTTTTTTTTTCAACACCAAACCCAGTCAAACAAACCACTAGTCGAGTTTTTTTTTCGATTTGACTCGATTTGCAGTTTGGTTCGATTTTGTACACCCCTACCCAAAAGACTTAATAATAATGATCTCTATGAACCTGATTATTATTATACATATCAAAATTTATTGAATGAAAATAACCACATTATAGATATATGCAATCATAAATCATAGTTATATGCACAACTAATTAAATGTATACATAAATGGTAATTTTTTGAAAGTATGATAATATATACTTAATAAATATAATATATAAGTTAGTTACACCGTGTACTGCCATGTACTGCTGCATATTAAGTTATATTAATATAATTATCTTTGCTTACCAAAAAAAAAAAGTTAGTTACACCGAGTAATTTTTTTTTTTTTTTTTTTAAATATTGTCTATTGTATAAAAACCTGTCATATAGTTTGAATAAATTTTTTTAAAAAATGCAAGAATATCAATTTGATTGGCTGAAAATAAAAACATTTTCAGAATATATTGTAATTCTACTGCAAAATACATCCATTAATTCAATTAATACAAAATTTCTCAAACATATATCTCTCTTGCATACGACGAAAAAAAAAATGCAGGAATTTTATGCTTATGATTAATTAATTGAAGAAAGAAAATCAAGTTGATAAGTTGAAAATTCATAATAGCTATAAAAAATAGTACATCCAGTAATACTTATGGTACTCCACATGTCAAACATATACTTGATTAGATACGAATAAAAAATAGGCTTATTAGATAGTTAAGTAAACTATATAAAATACGCCATCTCCTTTTAATTTTACGCATTAATTTCAAGTAGAAAATATCTGAAGTTTACGACTTATTGAGATAAATGCATATAATTAAAGAAAATAACATATTTTGTGTGATTAACTTAACTACCGAATAGATGAATGAGAACACACATAATTTTTTTTAAAAAAATTAAACAGAAAATGTCTAAGTTGAACACCTTATCAAGAGTTAAGGTATTCAACTAAAATATGATTTAACTCAGAGTCTCTAAATGCAATATTTTGACAAATTTAAGAGTTTGATCATGTATTAAGCCAATAAAATCTTACACAAATATAAGATGACTGATAAATTATTTTTTCACTTTAGTGTTAATGCACTCAAACGAATTACTTGATATAGTCGTCAATATTGATTAGCCCTCCTAATACTTTGACCATAAGCAAATCCCAAAAAGACTCTTGAAAAAAAAAACTAATCAAGTCGATTAGTTTAAAATTAACTAAAATAATTGTATTGAAAAAATCCTTTTGGTTAGAAAATTTGGTCAGAATGATAAACAATAACATATTTTACATTATATTATTTTACGTTTTTGAACAGTTTTACCCTTTTAGTTAAAAAATGAAAAAAAGATCAGTTTATTTTAAAATAAAAATGATATTATAGACTTTTAAAATTTCTGGTCATTTAACATTATGTTGTACATTGTACACTCATTAAATGCTTATGGTACAAGACTTGCCAAGCATATATTAATTAGGTAAGACAGATAATAAATTATATAAATGTTGAATTAATTAATGTTGCAATAAGTGTGAATGCATTTTAATTAATTAGCAACTTCGGGAAGGGATTTACAGAATGTACGGTCCATTAACATGCAAATGCATTGACAAAATTAAAGTGAAGAAAAAGGACCTATTTTATTTTATTTTTGAATCGAACCACATAAAAATAAGCAACTTATAATAATTAAATATATGAAATAGTTAGTAACAGTAAGTTCACATGTCACATGGCCTAATGTTTGAATTTGGCAACCACTTATAAAAAAATGACAAGAGAAAAAGTGATGCTATTCTCTTGGTATAAGGACCATTTAGTATATATTCTAATATTATTAAAAATGAGAAACATCGAGAGTATATTATATAATATAGTTATAGTTTTGATTATTTTTAATATGTAGCTATAGTTTCATGAGATTTTACTATTAGGTTTCCTAATTGTATGAATCTAGAATTTATATAGTTAGGTTCCTAATTGTATAAATTCATAATTTGTATAATTCAGTTCGTGATCATATAAATTTAGAATTTGTATGTGCTTACCCTAGCTATTTGTATATGATTTATGAAAAATTCATAAATAAATTACCCTATTTGTATATTTGCAAGCGAAATATACAAACTTAGTTTTGAAAACTTTTTAAATGTATAAATACAAAATTGTATATACTTTTCCTGTTTGTATATTCGCAAGCGAAATATACAAATAGACAAGCAAAATATACATTTTTTTTTGTGTTGTTGCAGATATATAGTAGGAAAAGAATAAAAATTGTAGTTTCAGCTTAGTCATCTTACTTAGCAAGAACGTCAGTGAAGATCGAAAGAATCTTTAAAATAAAAAAACTCTAATAATAATATTTATCATTTTAAAAACTTTTATTTTATTAAAAACTATTATTTAAATATATTCTTAATATTTATGTGACGTTCATAATTCAGTACTCATTCATTGATAAAGAATAAACACGTAACACTTATATCAAAAGATTAATAATTAGTGAAAGAGAAAGTAAAAAAATAAAATAAAAAATAATTATGAAAAGGAGTCAATTTGAATTAATAAAGAATAGTAAATAAATAAGAATAAATGGAAGAAAACAAAATTAAAGCCCTTCACACATCTATATATCTATATAAATCTGAATCTAGAATCGTTGATGTGGCAGCCTTCAATGGCCAGCATTTGCAATTATCTATTTTATCTTTTTAATTAAAATAAAAATCTGAATTTTTTTCTAAAATAAAAACTTCAATGAATTAAAATATCACACTAAATAGGAATAATTAATTACTCAGCAGCCCAAAATGTCTTTGTCAATTTTTTTAGTTTTTATCTCATTTTTTTATCACTAAATTAATATAATATTCATAATTTAATGAAAAAATTAATCTTATCAATGATTATTACCATTACAACCTTTCATAATCCATATTTATTGGCCATTACAATTTTTTCATACTAATTCATCATATTTATGAAGAATAAAGTATTTCTAATTTATAAATGGAGTTATAAATCATTCATATTCTATAGCTATATATATGCATACATAGATGCAAAACGGATAAAGTCTAAAGATATGTATTTTTGTTGTTTTCTTTTTCAGTTCGGCTAATACCTTTCTCTTTCTCTTTTTTTTTTCCTTTTGTCG